GTATTGTAGTGGTATTGTAGTGGTATTGTAGTGGTATTGTAGTGGTATTGTAGTGGTATTGTAGTGGTATTGTAGTGGTATCGTAGTGGTATTGTAGTGGTATTGTAGTGGTATTGTAGTGGTATCGTAGTGGTATTGTAGTGGTATTGTAGTGGTATTGTAGGGGTATTGTAGTGGTATTGTAGTGGTATTGTAGTGGTATTGTAGTGGTATTGTAGTGGTATTGTAGTGGTATTGTAGTGGCATTGTAGTGGTATTGTAGTGGTATTGTAGTGGTATTGTAGTGGTATTGTAGTGGTATTGTAGTGGTATTGTAGTGGTATTGTAGTGGTATTGTAGTGGTATTGTAGTGGTATTGTAGTGGTATTGTAGTGGTATTGTAGTGGTATTGTAGTGGTATTGTAGTGGTATTGTAGTAGTATTGTAGTGGTATCGTAGTGGTATCGTAGTAGTATTGTAGTGGTATTGTAGTAGTATTGTAGTGGTATTGTAGTGGTATTGTAGTGGTATTGTAGTGGTATTGTAGTAGTATTGCCGTAGTATCGAAGTAGTATCGTAATAGTATCGTAGTAATATTGTAGTAGTATTGTAGTGGTATTGTAGTGGTATTGTAGTGGTATTGTAGTGGTATTGTAGTAGTATTGCCGTAGTATCGAAGTAGTATCGTAATAGTATCGTAGTAATATTGTAGTAGTATTGTAGTAGTATTGTAGTAGTATAAGAGGCACGATGGCCCAGCCGAGTATTGCCGTAGTACCCCGTCGTATCTGCCACCGGCTCAACAAGACCCTGCAAGCGGCGGGGATCACCCGCCGCATCACTGCGCATTCCATGCGCATAGGAGGAAATAGCACTGCCGCCGATCGCGGTGTGCCTGCGGACTTGCGCAAGCCGCACGGCCGGTGGCGCAGCGACGCCATGGTGCAGCACTACACGCGGCGCGACGGGGAGGCGAAACTCTCCGTCTCCCGCAGCCTGGGCCTCGCCAGTGAGCAAATGTCTCTTCGGTCTGCTGTGTAAGGCCCGAGGCAGAGGTGCAATTCTCGCCAAAATCGTCCAAACCACACCGTTCAGCACCATCGGGTCAGCCAATCCACAGCCACCAGAACCAGTTAAGGGAGACAATAACACAGAATTGTTGGCTTAGATGCGACGGAGCGAAGCGACCGGAGCCTCTAAGGCTGGTTCTGTGGTACTGTCGTACAACTGGGTCGCAGTGGCGACTTAAACCTTGCTGCTCTCCTCGTGAAGTCATTCTGCCTTCACACA